ATCCATCCATCCATCCATCTGTCTATACCCCATGCCTCCAAGCATCCATGCATCCGCGCAAGAATTTCGTTCATGTATGTGTATGCGTTTTTGTATATGTATGAGTATGAAGCAGCTACGGTGCATATGCATAAACCCAATAATTCTGCATGAATGAGTGGACGAGTGAATGAGGGGCCCCAAGTATGGGTCCCGGAGGCCTCGGTCTGAAGACCAACGAGAACTTCGCCATCGTCAAGGATGAGGGCTTTCAGGGCCGATTTTCGAGCGTTGAGGGGACATTTATCGGGAGTTCACTTCTGGTCTAGAGACACCAGAAGAGTCTTCCCAAGGAAGTCTTCCGGTTGGAGTCAGAGTTTGCTGACTTTGGTGGACCTGGCAGGAGTGCTTCCCCTACATCGCCAGGCGCTTGATCACCGACGATAGCTTCCGAATGCGAGAAGCTCTGAGGCGGATTGGCCTGCCCTGCACACTGAGGGTCGAAGACATAAGGGTTCAGGATGCCAAAAGTTCGAGAGACAGGGAGAAAAAGATGTGGTTCTGTGTGCTGAGCTGTACATGCCGTACAGGCTTTATAATGGTTTTTGGCAGGTCCTACCTCTACAAGGGCCGATCTCGCATCGCCGTGTCGCGCATTGACGAGCTCGCCACCGGGTTCGGCAACTTCACCAATCTGATGCGCCTTGTTTGCACAAGCCGCAGAGAAACATCTGTCCCTGCTCCACGGAATGTTTCCGGCAGTTGGGTGAGTGTGGTGAGATTTGAAACTTTCTGAATGGTCTCTGGTCGAGTTCAAAGTCTCGGCTTTTTGCTCCACCTGGCCCAGGAAGGGAAGCCGAACGGAATCTGCGGCGGCCGGTGGGATCCAGATCGAGCAAAATGGCACCCATGAGCAGAGCAACGGCCAGAGCAACGGCCGGGTGCGCGAGGCCGCGTGCGCTTTGCTGTCGCCAGTTTCGATGTGAGACGTTCATAAAGCTCTGCAGGTCGACTCGGCCACACGGGAGATTGCAGAAGTGGTCTTCTCCCCAGATGGCAACTTCCTACAGGACCTGCTGATTGAGGAGGGTGTGGCGGCCATCGATGCGCTCTCCCGTGCCTCGCTGGTGCGTCTGCTTCGAACCCTGGGACCCTTGGCTCTTCCTCTCGCCTTGCCTCTGAACCTCTTGCTTGGTGGTGCCGACGACCAGCAGCTCCTGAGCAGGGAAGACAAGCAGTCGCTGCTCGTGCTCCGCCGCATCACGGAGCTTGTAGATGCCGGCCGCCGCCCAGCCGCCGAGAGCGATGAGGCTGCCGCGGACTTCGGCGAGACGGTGCGGAGCCTGCAGAGGCTGCAGCCCATTGCCCAGGGGCTGCTGCCGTTCCCTGGCGCTGTTCTTGGATTCCTTTCCTCAACTCTGGGGGGTTGTGTAACTCAGAGGCCGCCATGCTATAGGTTCGGTCCGCTACGGCCCAGACGCTCAGGTCCATCACTCCTGGTGCCGCGTCCTTTGCGGGTCGCTTCGCCCGGCAGCTGGCGCGGCGCGTGCTGCTGCGCCTGGCAGACGACGTGGAGCGCAGGGCAAACAACGCCCTGCTTGTGAACTAGATCCGCGCTGGCTCCACTGCCACCCCTCTCTCTGGATAGGAACGCCCAGGGAACCCGAGAAGTATAGACGAGTTGTATCCGCACGCCTTTCACACTGTCTGATACACGTCAGAAGTTCCCACATCCAGGGAGGGTCGTTTTCGTTAGCCAAAGTAGTTGACACTCTGGGCCCGGGCCCTTAGCTGGCCTGGGCCTGGAAAGGTTTCCATGGGCTCCAGGGCATCTGAGTGGCTACTATCAGAGGATGTTTCCCAGGCTTTCCGGATGTTTTAAAGGGAGTGAAAGGAGATATAGGAGATGTCGGAGCCTAACTTGCAGCAGCGATTTTCTGGCGACCAGCAGTTTAATCACTCTCTCGGGGTGTTGCCCCCGGATTTTCAGCCTGGCGTGCATCCGCCACACCTGCACGGACAAAGGGCCTCAGACTGTAGTCCGAACCGAGGGTTTTGGGATGTTTTGGGGGAATGTATGTCTGATCTTCAGGTGGACGCGGAGCCTCCAACCATGGTCAAGGCACATCTGCGAAAGACCCACTCTTTTGGGTGAAGGGATCAGGGACAAGGCGCCAAGCCGTCCCATCTATCCGTGTCGTGTTATCCATGGGTGCCATGCCGTTTTATCTAGGTTCCCTGCCTCAAACCTGTAAAGTTCCAAAATGCTGAACCCGGAACTGCGAAACGCCCCCATAAACTCTCAGCAAACTCTGGTCGAGGCTCCGCGACGACTGAAGCAGCCGCCTCGATCCATGTTTTGCTGTAGTAGGGAGTCGGCCAAGTTTTGAACAAACCTTACCAAGATTAGGACCGACCAAGATCGTATTTGCCTTATTGTATATCGTATCGTTTTCCTGGCGGTCCGAGTGTGTTTTTGAGAGCTCGACTAGCAACGCAAGCGAAGCTTAGCTCGAGGTTTTCCGACTTCGCCGACCAAGTGGGGCTCTGCAAAGAGCCGCGCAGCAACACTTTGCCGGGCTCCCGCAGACTCTAAGTAGCGGTTTGGAATGACCTGTGCCAGTACCTTTGGAGGGTTTGGGGATCAGACGCCCGGGGTGGTGTCCGGTTTCGGGTCTTGGGGAGGTCACGTACCAAGAGTGACGCGTCCACTAAGCCAGGAGCCTGAGTCGCAGCCGACGCATCATGAGATCGCAACGGAACGATGTACATGATGCCCTTTATCATCGTATTACATTATTATACTGCAGAGTCTACTATGGTATTATGATATGGTTACGGTCATATTCTGGTATAAAATGGTATAGTATAGTCTGTTATAGTAAAGTATGCTGTGGTATGTTTGCGAAAGATGGACTAAGACCATAAGCAATTCTATTTATCTCTCAGCCGAGGCTGTGGCTGATCGCGCCTGGAGCTGAGCCGGGCGATGTGGGGTTCAGGGTTTAGGGTTTAGGGACATTCCCAGCTGATGATCAGAGCCTGGTTCAAAAAAAGGGTTTAGGGACAAGGTGGTTGCAAGAGGGTTTGCAGGTTTAGGGTTTGCGAAATCACAGACAACCACAACGCGGATCATGAAATTGCAAGCTCAATCTCAGAGCGAAAAAAGCAGCTAAGAGTTCTCGGGGCCGCCAGGGCAGCGCCAGCAAAACACCTTTCCGAGCAAGGGACGTCTCTCTGTCTCCTTACAGAGGTAGGTTTCAGAAAACTTGGGGTGCCTTGAGATTGGTGGAATAAGCATGCAAGCATGCCATGATATGCAGCATGTTCTGATGAGGCCCTGTCATCTTTCCACATTGAGTGAACGTTGCGGTCATGTCCGGGCCATGTACAGCACTCCTACACTGGACTTATCGCCTTCAGGGCCTACCTTGAGAAAAAGATGCTGTGGATAGGCAGCACATGCTGGAGCTGCCTCTGCCTCCTCAATGGCCGGAACCCGAGTGAGTCCGAGTCACATATCGAAGCCTCGAAGTCCAGCAGGTCTCGATGGGTGTCTGCGAAACAGTGTACACGAAGTCTACCTGGAGCTAAGAGGTGAAGGTGCCACGCTCCAAGGTCCATGGAAGAAGGCTACATGGGGCAGGGAGCTCATCCTTCGTGGCGGCGGTTCCGTGCATGCACTCGCGGTTTAAGCCCCTGCCAAGGCAATTCTACTTCTTCAACGGTGTTGCAGGGGAAACGCCTGCGGCTGAATTGCATGTGCGGTTGCAGTGCGTGGCATGGACTACTCATGCTAGTCATATGGGGTTTCCGATGGGTGGCCGGCATTGCTTCAGAGAGCAATGCGAGATTGTCACATCGCAGCAGGGCCAGCAGCAGCAAGGCTCGATTGCACTACGTAGCCTTAGCCTGAGAGGAATCTCAAGCATTAGCAAGACAAATCCTTGTCGGCCACTGGTTTCTGCGCGGTTGGGGCCATCAGCTGCCACTGCTGCCGACTTCGCGAAGGCAGCAGTGATAGGAGGTATTCTGATGGGAAGCTGAAAGACCTTGTTGGATCGAAAGCCTGTGGTTGGTGAGGAGGGAGTCATGTTTGTCCGAGCAGCTCTTCCGGTCTTCCAAGCTCTGTGGAGGGCTTTCCCTTTTGAGGTATGCCTTGCAAGGATGCCGAAGAAGGTGAAGAGGCCCTGGCGGATGCTCCAGCGCCTGGAAAGCGAGTCCGACGAGGTGGTCGCGCCACTCGGCCATCCAAGATAAGCAGCCTTGTTCTCATGGCTCGGCAGGTGCCTGACATCTTGGGGGTATCCTTGGAAGCCTTCGATGTGGTTCTTGGGGTCTTAGGTGAATCTCAGCTTCGCACGGGGGAACTGTATCCGTTTTTGAAGGGCACAGTCTTGAAGTGCTGTGGAGCGCCCCCCGCCTAAGGCAAACGGTGGAGGAGCTGATCCGAAGGCATTTGCTGTCAGATCCCCGCGATGCGACCTCGGCCATCCGGGCTTCAGGAGCTGAAGGGTGCGAGGGAGCTGAGGTCATAGATATTCCCGGTGAAGTCGCGAGGACGCCGCTCCCTCTGGCCATGGGCGCTTTTTCTGCTTCGCGATCTGCCGCTCCGGCACCTGGAGCCCTCGATCATCGCTTGTTCCGCCGCGATGAGAGCGTGCATCCCTGGCTGCAGACAGGCTTTCTTGAGGTCGGATGCGGCCTTTTTTTGGGGGGGGGGGGGGTGNNTTGGGGGAGAGGGGGGGAGCACTTCGCCATGGCTCGAGGCGAGAGCGGAGGCTGGCTGCAGACGCTGCAGCTTCTGAGGCCGGGCTCGGTGCGCCAGGGAGTACTTGCATCTGTGTCTTTGAGGCTGGTTGACTGTTTTGTGTGTTTTGTTGGGAATCGATGGCTTGGCCAGACGCGATGCTTCTGCTGTCCAGGTGTGGCCGAGAGGGGGAACTCGCACTCGACGTCGTGGCCTGCGGAACTGTGATGAGCAACTTCTCTGCACACAGGAAGATTAGGAAGGGAGTGATCCTTTGATCGTCTCTTGATCTTCCTAAGTACAGGAGTCGGCAGTTCACGAGTCTTGGTACGCGGAGAAGGGGTGAAAGCGAAGGACCCTTAGGCTTGCAAAACCAGGTAGCCTCAAGCGAGAAGAGCCCTGGCCGCTCTCCATCGCCTTCATCGCCGAGATGGAGCAGACTGGGTCTGGGCAGAGCCGGCAGGGCAACTTTGAGAATGCCAATCCTGACTTGTTAAGTTATGAGACCGGGTTCAAGGCGTGGTTGCGAGAGTCGTTGTTTCAAAGCATTTAGCAGAAGCTGTGGGTTTTGAGCCAAAGCTTTGTTTTCTTGATAAGGGCCGTCTGATTGTTTTGGGTGCCTGGGAATGCCGAACGGCACCTGTGGTTTGTGTCGTCCCAGCCGCAAGTTTTGGAAAGTCTGAGGTAGGCGGTTGCCTCGGCCCGATGTGGCATGCTACACTGCTGCGATGGACGCTTGCACATCTTGGTCCGGGGCCCTGGGCGTCCTGGGGCAGGTGCGGCGAGAACAAAACTTGAGGCTTTCCGATACTAGCTGTATTAGCTCCAGTGTGGGGGCTCAGGAAACGGGCTTTTACAGTTGCCCTCCAGACTCCCTCGGGTTTTGGGAAAGGTGCGGGCAAGACAGCTGGAAGTGGATCCTGTGCTGCTGAGCTCTGCGCACTCTTGCTGCGCCCGCGCGGATCAGTGGCACTCCGTGTTGTCCGCCACGGAAGAGGCCCTGTGCCCCGGCCGGCGTGGTTTCACCGGGAACATCCTGGGAAACGCCTTGGGCCAGCCCGGCAAGTGGGAAGCTGGTTGCTCATGGCTGTCGGAGGCCCAAAAAAGGCAGCTGAAGCCGGACGTGGTGACCTACAGTGGTCTCTTTTGCGACTGGTCACAGAGCCTCCGTCTCCTTGCAACCATGCAAACTCATGGGATCCGCTGCAACGTCGTGGCGCTGACCAGGGCAATCGCGGCTCTTTCAGACAGGCGGCCGGGAAGCATCGCACTATGCTAGGGTGAGTTACTTGTTGCTCTCAGAGTGATCCGAGCTTCTCAAGCACGATGTCGGGTTGCCTGATGTGTGTGGGCTCTCACGACACGCATTCTCCTACTTGAGGTCTCAATCACTCCCACGGAGCCCTGTGCCAGTGCTTTGGATCAGGTGGCAGGCGAGCCTGGCGGTGGTGTCGCAGCTGTGGGAAGGTCGCCTGGCATCCGAGTCCCGGCTTCCTGGAGAAGAGCGACGGTTCTTGAGACTTCCGAACAAAAACCGCGTGGCTTCCAGGGTGTCTATGTTCCGAAGCTATCCGAAGCTTCAGTCTTTTTTTCCAAATCAGCTGACCCTTGCTCTGGGGGCCTTGCATACAGGTCCTGTTGTAGCAGTGATAGGCAGTGATACTGTTTTCCTCCTGCGGCTAGTGAAGCCCAAAAGCCCATCAGCTCGGTCAGAGTTTAGGACGAGGGCCTGGCGCGATCTCTTCTGGCTTCGTGCCGTGGAGGCTCCGGTGAGCGGTGGTCCACGGAACACGCAGTCGTTTGCAATTCTAATCGTGGCCAGAACTACATGCTCCTTTTTTTTTTCGGGGCAGTGCAGGCTTTGAGGAAGGTAGGGCCAGGACCTGCAAGCGCCGCCATGGCACGTATTTCACGGGCCGGCTTTTGCCCCGCCTTGCTGGCGCTGGCGTGGTCCTTGCTGTGCCTTTAGGCAGTGCCGCCGTTGCGGGCTTTTGCCGGCAGTGCTGGGCCCTTCTGCCGAGTTCGGCTCCTCTGGGCTTCTGGATGCTGGGTGCGCAAGCAGCCCGCAGCACGCCAGGCTTTTCCAAGGTGTGAAGCTGACGACAAACAGAAGGCTGCTCGGCTGGCGAAGCAGGATGACAAGAGCTTGCCTGCATGTGCAGACAGGTGACCCGGTCGAAGATGCCAAGACGGACGAGCAGCGGCAGAAAACAATTCAGGAGGAGGTCTCCTGAGCTGTCTTTTGCCGCTGGTTGAACAAGGAGGCTTTGGCCGCGGCTCGACGAGCGCGAGAGAACGACGGGCCAGAAAATCCCAGGAAACTCTGGCAAAGAACTACCTGCTTTTTTTTAAGGACTATACATAGAAACCACAATAAGGAGTCCTAAAAAGGTAGACAAACTGGTTGCAAGCCCTGCGCAGGCAGTGGCTACGCGAGTTTCAAGCCGACAGCAGCGGAAAGGCGACAGGGGCCGAAACGAAACTCGAGAAGGCCGGGAGTGCAGGTTGAAAGCACTGCGAAAGACATGGTTTCAAGAGAAAAATCAGTGGAGGCGGTGACGAGAGCAGTGGCTGCAAGTAACGGCGTGACGATCTCGAGGGCCACTCTGTTTGAACAGGTGTATGAACACTTATGGACGCTAAAGATGAACAACTAGACAGCAACACTGGCAACCCCGTCCTGGATGCACAGCAACTCTGCAATCTTGAAATGGTTGTAAACGATCGTGGTCAGAGATGATGACCGTGGTCAGCTGCATGCCGTCTTCCCTCGAGCATTCAAACGGCATGGTACTTGACAAGTGGGCTGCCTTCTGTGTGTCATCCCCTGCCAGGACCAGATGAAGCGCGATGCTGGTGGCGCGCCCGCTGCGAAGTATCCAGGCTCCCGAAGAGGTGGTTAATGTGCTGCGAATGTCCTCGGTGTTACGTTACGTGTGATGCCATCAATGGAGCTCCACTGATGGATCATGTTTACCGCAACAGCGAGGACGCTCGTGGTTCTGCGGTGAACAGGACTTTAAGTGGATCGGTGTTCTGGGACAAGCAGTCTTCAGCCGGGCTTCGCAGGAGAAGGACACTCGGATCCTCATGGCTGATTCGGCTGGCCGAGACAAGCCGGTTCAGCTTGCCATGCAGTTTGACGGAGGGCCAGCCACAACAACCTTCGTCAAGGCTCTGCTACAGCTCACACGCAGCTTCTTCTTTCACACGCTCCAGGACCTTTGCATGCAGTGCAGGATGCCCTGGATGTGTTCGCAACCCTCGCGAAAAAGACTCTGCAGACTTTGCCCGCGCTTGCCTAGATGCAGGGGGAGTTTGAGTGGACTCCGTCACCTCACAACCTCCACCATTTCCTCACCTTAAACATAGATAGGAGCTCGTTTCATCTGCGGGGAGTCCAACGGTCAAGCTTGCTGAGCATTTCTGTCCTCCCCAATTCAAACCGGTTGTTTGTTTTATCGCGTGCCACGAGACTGCTATGAAAGACAGGGCTCCCTCAGACCACCAGCCCATGAAGCTTGACTTTGCAGTCGTCGAGACGACTTGATCACTGACATGTGTCTCCCTGGGCATCCCGCCCTCCTAGTATTATGGGCCTGGGGTTGTAGCCAACTTAGTTGTGTGCCCCTGCTTCGCTCCCCAACCAAACGGAGTGCTCAACAGTAGAGGGGTACCCGCTGAGGTCCAGAACACCGGCTTTTAGGGGTACTGTGGATGGCTGTCGTTTGTTGCTTTGCTGGCTCTTCTGGAGGTCCGTGGTGAGGAAGCCGCACGCTGTATTCTGTCAAAATCTTGTCTCGCCAAGCCGACTCATGACCACATGCCTCGCCTGGATTGTCCCAGTGTGAGCGCCGAAAACCGAAAGCTGTCGAAGAAAGAAGCTTAAACCCCGAAACTTTTAGGGGCTGCGCCCTTGTGCGCCGGAGCAGCATTTTGTGGTTTTCATTGTCGGAGGCAACGTTATCTGAATTTCAAGCCGATTTACTTAAACCTGTAGTCAGCCACGCAATTGATTACTATGTTTGTGTGAGCACGGAGAACCTGTCGGCTGGGCTTTCGTGGGGAGGATTTGGGCTTTCGTGGGCATTTGGGTTGTGGTGGGGACGGATTTGGGTTGTCGTGGGCAAGGATTCAAACTTTCGTGGGGAAGGAGTGTGGGATTTCGTGCAACATTCGGGCTCTAGTGGGGGATTCGGGCTTTTGCAGGGAGGGATTCGGCTTTCGTGGGAAAGGATTTGGGCTTTCGGGGGGAAGTCGGCTGGAATTCGGGTTCTCGCTGGGATTCGGATCTTTTCGGGCTTTGGTGGGGAGGACTTCAGGCTCTCGTGGGACGGGAAAGGGGCTTTCGGGGGGGTTGTTTTGGGGTTTTGGTTTCGCTTTCGTGGGGAAGGACTAAAGCTTTCGTAGAGAAGCTTTCGTGGGGAGGATGTTGGGCGTTCGAGGAGGATTTGGGCTTTGAAGAGATTCGTGCTTTGGTAGGGTCTCGGCGTTTATGGGAAGAGACTCGGGTTCTCGTGAAAAGGCTTTCGGGGTGGGAAGGGATTCGGGCTTTCGTGGTGGAGATTTTCGGTTTGCGTGGGAGGATTTGGACTGTCGCGGGGAAGGATTCGGGTTTCTGTGGGGGTTTGGGCTTTCGTGGGGAAGCTTTCGAGGGAAGGGATTCGGGCTCTCCTGGGAAGAGATTTGGGTTTTCGTGGGGAGGATTTGAGCTTTCGTGAAGATTCGGGCTTTCGTGGAAGAAGACTTGGGCTTGTCGTGGGGAGGGATTCAGGCGACCCTGCTTCGCGAATCGATTTTTATCGATTTTACGACGTTACGTGTTAGGGCAGCCCCCTTAAAGAAGGAACTTGGGCGCACGCTGCGCTGGCGAACCCTAAACCCCAAACCCGAAACCCTAAACCCAAAACACCTCTGCCATGCGAGAGGGAAAAAATGCAAAACCCAAAACCCGAAACCCTTTTTTATCATTATCATTTCATTTAAACACAATAGATACTCTACCAATAACTAATATTATATCAAAGCCCAAAAGCCCAAAATGTGCAGAGGCCCTGAGCTGGTCCTGGGCCTCCTGAGGGGCTTCCAGGACCTCCGAGTGGCCTCCTCGGAGGCCTTCCCTCTCGGTGCTGATATTATTTTTTTTTTGGGGGGGTTTCTTACTATAGTTATAGTATTTCTTAGTATAATTATGGTATAATGGGTTTTGGGGGGTTTCTTACTATACTTATAGTATAATGGGCCCCAAAAACCCTGTTCTAATTATTATATATTGAGTCTTTGGAGGGTCTCGATCGTTTCGGCCTCGATTGGTTTTGAAGTGGTTTTTGAAGGGTGCGGTGCATCTTTAATCGGCATGGGTTCTCATCATTTCCCTACTGTGTTTAAGCTGCTGCAGGGCATGCGTCATCCGTGGATCTCGTCTTTCCAGGCTCTTGTGAGGCCTGGCATCACCAAAGCTCCGAAGCTTACTGTGTGCCCAGATTCTATCAGACTCAGAAGCTTGAAGCTTTCTGCGCAATCCTCCCACGGAAAGCCTAATGTCTTCATCAGGGAGAGCTCGATTATCCCACAAAGCCCTCTCTCCGGAGGTTCTCTGTGCTGCAGTGCAGAGCTTGGCGCGGCAGGAGCGATGGCAGTGAGCTTCTGTCAGGGGTTGGATGTCCAGCAATGCAGGATCGTAAAGAGTGACATTCTAAGGACCTGTGGTGGGACGTTTTGGGTTTCAAAGGTTGGTAGGCCCAAAGGTGCAATCGGGATGAGTCTGCAAACATACCAATCCAACAAGCTTCTAATGCCTACGGACGTGAGGCAGCCCAGGGCCTGGTGACAGACGGCCGAGGAATCAGAGATGAGCCGATCTGTCCTTCCGGCCGTCCTTCCAGCCGCCATTCCGTCCGTCCGCCGGTCTGTCCCACCTAAGGATAGACCCAAGATGTGGGCTGCAAGAGACAAAAGCGCCCGAAGCCGTAACTCCCCCAAAACCGAGCCTTTCCCTTCCAAGACAAAGGGCGGATGAGAGTGCCTGAAAAGCCGGGCCAGGCGCGGTGGCAGCTGGCCGCAGGGCTCGCCGAGCGCCTGCAAGGGCCGTGCCCCGGCTGCAGAGTTTCGCAGGGCTTCGTACAGGGAGAGCTCACACATCATGGCCCAATGTGCACTTCACAGTCTGAGTCTCGGGGGTCAGAGTCTAGGAACTCGGCGACTCCTTGAGTTTCCAGAGTTGGAGGCCTCGGAGTGAGACCTTGCTTCCATACAGGTACGTGTAATTTCGAGTTGTCGGTATTTTCATGGGTGTGTCCAGGCCTGGAGGGTCTGTGTAGCTGGTAGGTGGTGAATTTCAGGGTTCAGGCAGATGCTTCAGGAGCTCGGGCATGTGGCGTGGCCTTGGGCCTTGAAGTGCTCGACGGAGCAATGGTGCTAGAAGCCTCGCGGTATTAGTTGAAACAGTGATTGTCGGTATAGGACCTGCATGTGCATAACCCCCGCGTTTGACATCTTCTTGAGGCCGTTGTTGGCAGGCTTCAGCAGCCTCATTTTGATTCGCAGAGAGGATGCGGCTGATGTGCTCTGGCTTTGGATACAGGTGCCCTGTGGTTCAAGGCCGGTACCTCCGTGCCGAAAATGTCGTGTTAACTTCCCAAACTGTGAACATGACCGATATTGTCGACCAACTCTTTTTTGTTCTTCGCAGGTCACACCACTGGCACTTTTGGACGAAGCACCCGCACACCCTTTCTCTGCCATGGATGTTGAGATGGCTTTCATGTAGGAGTGGACTATCACCTGTTCGTTTGTGACTCGTGGATTTAGTCGTGATACTGATGATATGTGCATCGATTTTTTGAGTGTCGGCGTGAGATTGAAGGTCAGTAAGAGCTCTTGTCGAGAGTGAGTGCTAAAAAAAGAGCTCTTGCCAGAGCATGAGGGATTACGGCGATGCTACCAAACAGCAGATAAGGCATAGTAAATGATGAGACTGCTAGACGGTGAGCCGTGTTTCTGGACAAAGGTCGACTGGGCCCTCTCTTGGCTGCCGGCCCTTCGACAGCGGCGGGCGATGCCGGACGAGCGGGCTTTTGCCCCGCGACGCGAGCAGGGGATTCGTTAGTCAGAGTGGTGTGCCCCGAACCTTTTAGTCTTGGTCAGCAGAACGGTGAATTGCTTCAGGACTGCAGTAGAATCAGTGCACCTTCAAACGCTGGCTGTCGAGTTCGGATTTGTCGGGGAGGCTTCAAGCATTGTGCCACGTCCAGAATCCGAGGTGGCTGCCTTGTCAGTCTGTGGGCGTGGTGGCCAGTGGTGGAGGGCCCTTGGACTTGTGTGCTTCGGCTGGGCAAACGATGGTTCGTTCCCGCCGTTCCCGTCCACAAACCACATGAAGTAGGACCTCCCTCCTAACCCCAGTTTTTGGGCTCTGTGGGTGTGACCAGAGGCTTCCGTTTTTGATATCGTAAGTTCTTTCAGAAGCTTGTTTGGTTCTCTTCCTCACCGTTGGCCTTTGGTAGAGGGTGAATCCTATGGTCTACCCGTCGAAGTTAGCTGCAGGTCTCTTCAACGCCCGGCGGACAACATCTGGCATGCTCGCGCCCCCCCCCGAAAATTCCTCGACCGACAGGCCTCCCCTAAAATCATCCCGAGACCCACGAGACCCAAACCCGCAGCCCGTGAGCTCTGAGAGCCAAGGCAGGACATGGCAGAGCTACGTGTGCCCGCGGGCAGGCCGGGGAGGGTTTGTCTGCTTCTTGCAGGTTTCGAGTCGGGAGTTGGGCTGTTGCATCTGAATTCTTCCGAAGATCCTCCTAGCTCGCTTCGTTTTGATGAGCTTTCGCCGGCTGGGACAAAATTTGGGCGCCGAGGTTTGCTACCGCTGCGTCGCTCGGGGCCATGGAAAGTGCCCGGCGATGGCGCAGGGCGCTGTCCTTGTTTCGAGGGGTGCAGAAGGCCAGGAGGGTGACCGCACCAGACACCACAATACAGTCCCTGGCGCCGTCCGAGAATGAGCGTCGACAAAAACAAGCTCTACGACGGAAGAGCCGCGAGCCAGGACGGGACGGCTCTCTCTGTGCCGGCTGTGAACGCTGCAGCGGCCGCGTGCGAGAAGGCTTGGGCTTGGGCTTCACGAGCTCTTTTCGTCACAGCTCCCAAGTGACGGCCCTGGCGACCCTCCATGCCAGGGTTGGCGGTGGGAGGAGGCCGCCTCGCTTCTTGCCTGGATGAGAGCCGCGGGCCGGGAGCCCGATCTCATCAGCTGCAACAGAGACTCGGACTCGGACCAAGAAAGGGATGGACCGGATTGACCGGATTACTCCCAGACCTCAAAAGGGAAATCTTTTCCTCCAGGCCTTAGGAGTGCCTGCGCGGCGGCGGCGCTCTGGCAACGTGCCCTGGCGCCGGGCGCACGGGACGTTGCGGCTCGGGTGAACAACAGTTTCCGGATGAGAGGGCGGAGCAGAAAGCGATAGAAAGCGATTTGGCTTAGTTCAGGACTGGGGTGCGGGAGAGGGGGTCTGTACTCGTAAGGGAATAAGAGTGCAGGCGTTTCTCGGGCTCCAGTATCAACGAAACGCAAAACTCGATCTGAAAGGCTCAGCATGCAACCAGGGAGTGGGTCAAGTTCAGAAAAAGCAAAGAGGAAAGTGGTTGCACATGTCAACCGAAGGTGTCCTTCACGACCATGGTGGACGCCCTGCCTGCTGCGCACTGGCAGGGTGCGGTGCAGCTGTGTGCGGCCTCTCGGGACGCAAAGCTCAGGCTCCCCGATTCCTCAGGCCTCGCATGCGACAAGGCTTCGCCTAGGCAGGGTCCAAGGCAGCTCGAGCTTGTATAGAGAGAAATAGAGAGGCGTCGTCCTGGTCCTTGTCGTCCTCGTCCTCATCGTCGTCCTCCTCAGTCACGGTATGCTCGAAACTTCCTGAGAGGTAGCAGTTTCTTTTGCCGAGTCGGAAGTTGAAGTACTCGTCTGAAGGTCCTGAAGGTCCAAAGCTGCGAGCAGTTTACAGAGGAGCCTTTTGGCGAAGCAAAGACCCGTGCACCCCTCAGACCTCAAGCCTCAAGCCCAGGACGTGGCAGAGCAGGCCGTGCAGCCGAACGAGCTTTTCCTGGGAGCTTTCGGGGCCTTCCCGACTTCGTGGCCTTTGGCTTTGCAGTTGCTGGAGGGGCGGGCGCCGTCCTTGGTGGTGCTGGTGGAGGTGGGTTTGTTGTCGATACAAGTCGTTTTTGTCGTTAGACTCCGTTAGACATCTTCGTGCGGCGGAAACATGGGGCCTACGTTTGCAGCCCCAGGTGCTGAATGCCGCCGGCCAAACACATGTGGCTTTCCGGGACCAGACGTCCCAGCTGCTGCAGAACCTGCTTCGTCACAATTTCGACGGGCATGACTTTAGCCAGCCGCTGGCTGCTGCCGAGGCGCTGATGGCCTTTACCGGAGCTCTTCAGCCGGAAGTGCTGGCTTCTCTGCGGTCCCAGATTTATTGCCCAGCTCTGCTTCAGCTGCGCGGGCTGACGCTCCGGCCCTCGAGGGGAGGCGACGGTGCGTTCATCTCGGACAGAGTCCTGGAGCGTCGCTTCAACCTTGGACCCTTGACCTCTGCGGCGATGGAGCAGCTGGGTTTGGAGCACACCGCGTCTCGTTGGTCTGCTGTGGCCCGTCGCTCCTGTCGCCAAGGCCAAGGCGACGAGGGTGAGGCCGAGGGCGAGGGTGGCTTGAACGGCCTCAAGCCGGAGCCTTCTGCGCAGGCCGTGCTGGCTTGGAGCTCCGTCGCGCTGGGAAGCGACGCGCTGCGCAGCCGGGGAGTTGTGACGAAGCCCGGGCCGGGAGCGTCGTACGGACCCTTGGGATCTGACCTGAGGAATGTGAGACGCTTGAAGCCTGTTTTTGCTGATCATGATCGGTCTGGCCATGCTGAGCGGATAGCCTTGTTGACTGTGTTGACTTCCTTGAAACTGCGCCCCGGTGCTTCCTAGGAAGACTGTGGGCGCGTCAAGCATGCATGGGTGAACAAGCCGTAGTGTTGCGGTGCTCGGCAATCGGAGTCCTCGGAGCCGGGATCTCTTCCCGTTCTCCGTGTGCTCGTAGCTTCAGGTCTTGGACACATCCGCAGGCAGCCCTGTCAGAGACCAAGCTGTTCGTAGTGCTTTTCAGCAGGAGTGGTTTGACATTCAGATCCGCGTGTGTTCGAGGTACAAGGACATCGTCGACGAAGTCTCGTGGGCATCTGAGCTGTGGAGAATTGGACCGATAACCCCTCAGCTTTACTAGCAGTCAGATAGCTTCGAGGTCATGGCCTGCGGATGCAGCCGCAGAGGATGTCTACAGGTGCCGCACTTCTGAGATCGGGCTGTTCTGGAATTTAGAGGGGGTTCGATTGTCTTGAGAGCTTCCCAACCAGGGAAGGCAGTACCACGCAGCCCCGGATTTCAAAGCGCCATGCCCAGGCGGAGCTGGAGCTACCTCCAGAGGGCCCAGGCGTCAGCGGCGCAGGCTGTCTGTGTAGATAAACTTCGGAGCCGTCGCCGAAAGCACCTGGCATTGTTTGACTCGTCTGTATATAGCCTTTCTAATCTCTGCTCCCTGCCATTCTCTATTGTGGCACTTTCTCACGGATGCAATAGATTCACAAAGACAGCATCGTCACAATATTGCCTCGCCTCGACGCCTTGCAGACTGTGCAGGCGCTGTCGCAGTGGAGCGGGCCGCATTGCATTGAAGCAGGTGCCCGATGTCAATCCAGATTGAGGTTTCATGGCTCTGGCGAAAAACCCGAAAGCCTTTGCCAAGCTTTGTGGTTGAGCTGGCCTCGGGTTGCAATGTGCTCGCTGTGATCCACCCGAGCCTTGTCAAGCCGGGTACGGCCTTGGTTAGAGATTTCCCAATGAAGTGGGGCGAGAATGTAGAAGGACAGCAAGCTCAAGAGGCTGCTTCTGGTCCTTGCATGGAACACAGAGCCTCAAGATGACTCAATTTGGCCAGGGCGGCGGCTGGACCGCGCCGTGTCCGGCCGGCCTGTTTTCGCTTCAAGGTTTGAGAATACAGAGTGTACGGAAGTGTCGAGGGCTTTGTGGGTCGGATCCACGAACGACGTTTCTTTGCAAGTTGACTGAAAAAGGGGAAAGTTTTCTGCCAGGCAGAGCCTGGACGACCTGGACGGGGTGCTTGCAGTTGGGTTGCTGCAGACCTACATGTTGCTGTGGAGTCGCAGGAGCTCAGGCCACCGGCACGGTAAGACTACCCAGGAGTCGACGGTTGCCCAAGCATTTCGCAGGACCGCTACTTCTTCAATATGACTACAGGTGTCGGGACCTCAGGAAGATATTAGTACCACGTAGTGCACGTTGCTTGTTACATCGTAAACACAATGCCGGGAAGCACCGCGAAGGGTGTCTTTGGGTCTGGACAGTTATCTGGCCACTGACGTAGTGAGGGATGCCCATGTGGGGAGACTGAAGTCAGTCGGCAGAGAGAAGTCAATTGCAATTTCACGGCTTCTTCTTTCGATTGGTTCGCCCTTTCGCTGCATTTTGCTCCTGAGAGAGAAGCGAGGAGTACAGTCGCGCTGATCCCAGGGATGCCTTGGAGCCGATGCCCAAGCCCGGATGCAAGAAGCACTCTGGAGGTTTAGGAAGTTCCTCTTGCTTGGGAAAGGTTTGACCTGCTCCAACAGCACATGCTGCTCTCTTACTGCATCCACTACGCGCAGCATGGCGCCCGGATGGCCCTAGGACCGTGAGACCTCGTTCAAGGTCACAGGCTCCGACTAGGTGCTTACCAAGAAGTAGTGAAGATACTGACAGCCATGGCGTGGTGTCGTTGGCGGCAGCCATTCAGCTTACAAGTGCATAGAATCTTCAGCTTCCAACTGAATGTAGGAGAGAAGCCTCGATTTCTGTGGGACCACAGCCACAGCTGCAATGACCGCGGGACCTGCGTCAGCCCAAAGCAGAAAGTGCACAGAAGACCCTCATCGCCATGGAGCTCCTTCGCTGTGTCGCAGAGATCTGCTGCGGAGAGAGCCCCCAAAAGCCCAGGCCCCTGGCGCAGCCAGGGCCCGGGGTCACCGGGGCGCCAGCCCCCAGCCAGGTGGCCTTGACTGGTCGTAGGAGGAGTCTGCTGGTCGGCAGCCGGGCTCGGCTTGGAGGCTTCAGACGCGTTGCTTCAGGTCATGACTAAGACGGAGAGAGAGAAAGAGGGACCTTCGATGGAAGGGGGCCCGCAACCCACGAAGCCTGTTTGCGCAGAATGATGTTGCCCGCCCCCATGTGTAAGACAGGAGGAAAGAAGCGAAGGGTGTCAGAGGAAATACGAAGAATAAGGCGAGCAAGAAGAAGGATTAATTCTAGTAGTAGCAATAGTAGTAACAATAGCAGCAATGACACCAATAAGCTCAGTAATGCAGATCTTCATTATAGTAATAGCGAAAAAATGATATGACTAGTCAGACGAAGAAGGAGAATAAGGAGAAGAAGCAGGGAGGCTTTTTTCCGGGCCAAGGTATCAATTACTTTGGCACCCAGAACGAGCTGCATGGATGTGTCTCTGATGTCCAGCGCATGCTGCCCCTTTTGGACAAGCTCGGATTTCCCAGTGATGCAGAGAGCCGGCGTGTGCTGGTTGATGCGCCAGACTGGCCGCAGCACCTTCACCCAACCTTGGCCAACATGAGGCAGGGCATAGCCTGGCTGACCCAAGATGCCCAGCCAGGGGATTCGTTGCTGTTCCATTACTCTGGCCACGGTGGGCACATGCCCCGATCGGACGGGCGCAGCGAGTGGCACGAAACACTTTGCCCAGTGGACATGGATGCCGAGGGTATGCTCTTGGACTCCGAGCTCTTCGAGACGCTGGTGCGGCCACTGCCGAGTGGCTGCAGACTCACGTGCATCCTTGACAGCTGCCACAGTGGTGGTGTACTGGATCTGCCATTTATCTTTGTTGGTACTCAAGAAAATTTAGCCTCTGCTTTGGCTGGCGAAGCTGCGCAGATGGTGATGTCAAAGAACTGGCTTCAGGACTGGCAGGCTTGGCAGGACGGTGACGATCCGGCAATGTTGCTCTCGGATGCGGCCTCCATGGGAATGGACCTCTGGAGCCTCTGGGGCAAGTATAGTGAGACCCGGGAGGCCAACGAGCAGGGCTTTCGCACCGATGAGGCCGAGAACGCGGGCGTGGCTGTTGCCCCTCGGTGCAGACTGCAGAGGGACGTCTCGATTCCATCGGGGCAGGAGCGGGACGAGGTGTTGCAGTGGCCCTAGTGGCCCGAAACCCCCAGCCTTGAGAGGCATCAAGCGAGCGAACATGCATCGTTTCAGAATGTTGTTAAACTCTGGCAAGATGCTACTGTCCCCCATGGAAACCAAGGGCGAGGTGGTTGCCTTCACAGGTTGCGCCTCCGAGCAAACGAGTGCCGACGTCGGAGATGTGGGAGCTCAGTTCCAGCCTTCCGGCAGATTTATACAACAACACTAGCAAGAACAATGCTAGAAATTGTAAGTGCCGTCGTAACCGTAGTAATCAGTCGTCGAGCGATCTTTGTAGTGCCCTGGCGGAGGCTTAGCGAAAGAGGCGAAGCTACAGGCATTGATCCGAATCCCTACCTAGCCCTCAGGCAGGCCCCTCTAACTTCCAACATGCCACCTCTGGGCCGAGGCTTCAGCCCACCCTGGGTGCAGCAAATGCAGGCCACGGGAGCTCCGCGGCTTCCGTGCTCTTAGGGTCAGCCGATTGCGGTTCAGCGATGCAGATAAGCAGCGAGGTGATGGTTAGATGATAGATGAGAAGGTGCATACAGTGTTGAGGCTTTCACTCTTGTGGCTTCCTTGTCGCCAGAACCATAGCCTAAACCCGAGAAGCACTGAACTCCGGCTATTCTTTGCTGGACCGCTTCAGTTGCGTTTTGCATGACATCTTGGCATATTCTTGCAGAGGAGGACACTTGCTGCTTGAGGGCGCCGGCAGGGCTGGAGGCTGGGATCTGCCCGGACGTCTGCACGGGGATCATGAGGGCTCGGAGACGCCTGGAAGCGCACCCGCGAAGCAGCATAGCAACTCTCTGCTTCCGGTGAAGCTTCTGACTGCGCATTTATACATGATAACTAGGGGATAACGTCCTTTTGCGTCGTGAGATGTGAAGGTTAGGACTCTCATTACCTGTCTTGTTGCATCTTGTTGTGCTTGCGCTGGAGGTGCACTGACCTCGGCGTTCATTGAGGCGATGCAAACTCAGGGCGAGGAGACGACCCCTGGCCGAAGAAGGATCGTTCAAGCTCAGAACTGGAACGTAAAGTTAAGGGGGATTTATATTCTCGTAGAATGTGCCAATGTTGCAAGCCAAAGCTGCATGCCGAGCAGAGACCAGGCTGAACCCTGTGTGCATACCTCACATTTTGATCTAAGTGCTGACATGCATGAGCCTGAAAGGCTGCAGAAATGAATGCGGCGTCCTAGAGTCGACGACTGTAAGTTAAATCCTGCACGCTAACATGTGGATCAACTTGTGGAGATCGCAAATTTCACGCGTCGGTGTTGGTCTCGCCTCGGCCTCAGACCCATCGTCATGGGATCATTGAGCACCATGGAGTTTGCATGCACATCTATGCACGTGTAAATGTACAGATAGCCCAGCACTACAATATACTACAATATAACGGAGCATGTTGGATTTCAGTTGGAGAAAAACTAAGGTATGTGCAGCTCTTGGAGCATCTGCGGCAGCGGCTGGAGAGCGCAGGACGGAGTGCTAGGGGGAGGCACGACCCCGGCTTTTTTGGTCAAAGAGCCGGCAGCCGCTCTTTTCTTCCTCCAGCTTCTCCCCAAGATACGGCTGCAGACATCGGCAACGAACCAAGGCTCTGCCCTCTTTTCTCCTCCTTTGCCTTGCCTCGTGAAGGATTCAGCCAAGTTCCACAGTTGGCGTCCAGTTTAGTCCTGGACCTGAACACTCCGTTCTCAGTGGACAAGATCACACCCCCGCCTCAACCTGGGCAGATGCCATCGAGACCGGGCTCAGACACATGCTGTCACGCCGACGGTTAAGTCACTTTGCTAGGTCGGGAGCGAGCAAGTGCCCAGGAAATCCGTGGATCGTGACATCCCCGGCTATGGTGGCTATGGATGCACAGACCAGAACCAGGCCCAGCGAAACTCTGAACCAATGTGCAGCAATGGTACCAGAAGTGAGAGTGAAGTGCGGCTAAATGCCAAAGCTCCCCCTGCCCTCGCCTTCGATCTGCCCGGCTCTGCTTCACCTTACCCTCAGTTCCCCAATACCCAACCTTTATAATCCTTTATAAACTTTCGGGGTTCTTATATAATTTAGTAGTGATCTGAAAGTATAACCTTTTATTTACCTGGCGTATTGGGGAAGCAAGAACCTTAGTCTGAGCAGCGCCTCTGAAGTGATGTTCCCGGTCCTGCCAGGGCTCCGTTTTCTCGGACATGCTCGCTGGGGTGCCGCCTGCCAGCAGAGAGCTTCATGTCGACGGTGGTGCCGAGACTGTGAGGCAAAACTTTAGCATGGTGCGAAATCCATCGGCCTTCCATCGTTGAATCTTCTCGTGCCTGGCACTTGTTCTTCTAGGAGGGAGGGGGCCAAGGCAGAACATGCTCATGGCGGAAGAGGCTGCAAAGCTCATGGAGGAAGCAGGCTCCCACGCCTCTAGCGGGAGAAACCGAATCTTTTTACAAACCCGTGTATTGAGAAGTGAGAGACTTTGTCAATCTGGCGAGTTGACGTGTGAGAAGGCCTTCAGGTTTGAGAGCCTGAGGCTCCTAAAGCCACGCTTTGTGCCTTGGCCGGTGAGGCGATCTGCTCATGGACAACGCGGCACCCGACGACGACTTCTGAACAGAAATGACAAGAAAATTCCATGGTTTTGGAGTCCAACGGGTCCGCCAAGGATTTTCCAGCTTTCGACTTCTTCAGTCGGCTTTTGTCTTTTGGCTGCCAGAGGCAGTGCAACAAAGTCTGCAATGCTTGGGCACGGCCCGTCTCTCGGATAGGTTTCCCAGGACTGTCCGGAGATGTATGGGTTGTGCAACCGATTGGCGCCTGACTCGATTGTGACACCAAATCCCCACGGCCCACGAGAGCCGCAGTTGGACCTAACAAGTCGAATCAGGCACCCACTGCATTTTGCTCGAGTCCGATGGATGCGTTGTACAGCTGCGCAGTCGGACGCCTCGCCCATAAACTCCTTCCTCACTCCGGGACATCAGTGGCTAAGCGGGGCGTGAGAGAAGGCGGCATTGTCTCAGAGGCCGAGCCGGGGTCCTGGAATCTTAGAGGGGGCCTAGGCTTTTCAGATTGTCTTCTTCTCGCCAAAGGAATTCAGAGTTCTGTTGGCTGGCATGCCTTTAGTTGCCTTGGTATTGCTTAGCTTGTAAAGACATGTCGGCCACGACTGGGGTAGACGGATGAAGTGCTAGCTAGCTTGCATTCGGATTGCCCAAAGCTTGCTGAGGCAGGGCTGGTGTTCCTCGGCTCAGCCGGATGTCAGAACCTCAGTGTCGTCCCGTTTCGAGCTGCGAGGTCTCGCGAGGTGGCCGAATCCGGTCTTTCCGGTTGCCCCTGTGCTCATGCTGCATAGGCCGACCCGATGGCCATTATTCCAAGGCTTTTCAGATCAGCCGCATCCTTGCGTAGTTCCAAGGCCAAGCCCGGAAGCCCACGTCCGGAGAAGACCACCTCCGGCCAGGGATCTTCCGAGGAGCTCTGCACCGACAGACAGCCCGGGAGGGTTCCGAAGAGGGAGACGTAGAGAGACGATGAGAGACGTAGAGAGCCTGCATCACACCGCCAGGAGAGCCTGGTTTCTGTTGGGGGTGGAGGCAGGGAGTCCAACAACCGCATGCCGAGCGCTGCGCAGGGTTGAAAGAAGACACTGAGTACAACGGCGCAGCAGCACAACAGTAGCCGACGTACTACTCGACATCTTGAGCGTGCTTGCGAGTTTCTGTTTCTCCTCATCGACACTTTGCATTTCGATGACAGTTTCCGTCCTTGGGATCACCTTCCCCAGATTGAGCGAGGCAGTGAAGGCGAGACCCAGGGCTCTGCGGCGCCGTCGCCTCACATCCAGGCGTCCTGTGCCAAGCACGAAGAGAACAACCCCTGGCACCACTCCCGAAGTGTGCCCTGAATTGTGGACCTTCGTTGTAACGACCCCTAATCATGTTCAACAACATCTAGGATCCGGGTTGAACTCTGCAACCCAATCTTCCGAGCAAGCCTGAAGCCCAGAAACGACTGAAATGGACGTTTTGTTGGGAGGTCTTCGCGCCCGGAGCCCCGAGGTCGGCCTAAGCACCACGTTCTATTGGGGTTCATGAGGGGTCAAAGCGGCGGAGCGGGAGAGGGCCGGGGGGGGGGGGCGGGGCGGACTGGAAAATCATCCACATCACCTGCAGCCAGGAAAGTGAAAGTAACGCTTCCGGTGTTGACGCCTGAGTTCTGAGAGTTCCTTGTCAACAGCTCTTTATCGGTGCACATTGTGTCCACTCAGTCCGGCACGGCAACATATGGAGAAGGAGTCTCCAAAGGCGCCGTTGTTTCGTTTTTTGCGAACTTAGATCGAAGTTTCTCGTGCAGAACACATCCTTTGCAGGCATCGTCCATGCAGGCATCGCCGAGGCATTGCTTGCTGGCGCGGGGCTCGAATGCAGGCCTGAAGAAGGTCCACATGATCAACTGGTATTTTGACCTGTCGGAGTATGTAACGTGAATGCATCGCAATTGAAAGCCGCGTGTGATCTGAACCCAACATACACCCAAGTTTGAATCGATCTTTAAGGTGTTCATGTGGGTGGTTGTCAAAATTATGGTCCCTTTTTGGGTCCTTATTATAATACGGCAACTATTATTTAGGGTACCCCAAAAGGGACCATAATTTTGACAACTACCCATGTGTGCCTTGAGCAGCCGAGGTTCCTCGTATGGGGGATGACTCGGTGAAGAGCCAGCTGTCCGGGAGCCAAGATCAGCAACTGTCGATGAGTTTGGATGTCGGTTGTGGAATGATTGCATGCCTTGCAGGTCGTTCTACAGTGCTGTATCTTCCTGCTCAGAAGAGGCCACTGGCCATTCCAGTCATGTCTTTGTGGGACCGGTGTGAAGGAAGCTGTTGAGTTCATACTCTTTAGTTGTCAGTCGTTGCCAGTGTTTTTGCTTCGTACTCGCAGAAGCACGATGCAGATCACGACGGCAAAAACTCCGTGCAGGGCCTTGTCGACCGGGTGATGTTTCCAGTGGATGTTCCTGATGATCGGGCTGAGTGCAAGCAGCGCGTGCAGCTGATGCTTATGATGCTCGGGATGGGCGGCCTTTTCCACCAGGAAGCCCTTTCAGCTGATGCTCATGATGCGCGCGATGAGCGCAAGCAACCCGTTAAGCTGATGCTGATGATGCTCAGGTTGGGCTGTCGACAGATCTGACCAAGGAACCCGCTCAGCTGAGGCTCATGATGCTCGGGTTGGGTGGCCCTTTCAGCCTGATACTTCGCTTGGGTCTCAAAGATTTTCAGGATTTAATGCTGCATTCGGTTGTCTTTGCAGCCGGCTGCTTCAGCACACGGTTGCAAGTTCGCCTTACTTCGTTCGAAGCCGGCAATGCCGAGTCAAATCCCGTGACTGCCGTTTGAGCCTCTCAATCCCAAGCCCATGAAGCAAAGCTGACATCGCCCTCAACCCTCAATTCTAAACCCCCAAGTATCAACCCATCCTGTTCCCACTGGTTGCAGGCTCCGGGACTGGAGGCTGGTGGTCGGATTCCTACTTCCGAGTGCGGGGATCATCATCGCCAGGTCGAATAATTCCAGGACGTGTCGGCCTACATATGCAGGCATTATCAGTTATAATACAGTATGCACTCTTCGCGCAGCCCGCTATGGAATCACTTCATACGTATTTTGAGCTTTGCTTCGCGTCTGGCCTTGTTAAGACTGTAGTGAATTGGAGCTGTAAGAGGCGGGAGCAGGAAGTGCCATGTATACTGGATTTTGCAACGAATTCGGCGTGTCCGGCGGACTGTGCCCGGACTGTGTTGAGCGGGGCTGAACCGCCGTGCGCGCCTACCCGGATGTGCCCAATATTCTGATCCCGGAAAGCAACATCAGCATAGTCTTCCCACGCTTCTCGAAGAATGAACCTTCAAGCAAAAATCCCGCTCTTGAACCTCTCAGCGTAAACCTAAGACCCCCCATTTGTCAGCCCTGAAACAAGAGAAGTTGTAATTACAGTAATTACAGAGGGCCCTGTTTTTGTACCCCGATTATGGTCCGTTACTGTATGGGGGCAGCAACCCAATGCAGAAATGTACACCGAGGCATGAGCCCAGTCGCCGCAGTGTGCTGAGTCCCTTCTGAGCAGGGGGTGTTCTATAGATGAAGGTTATAAGGTGTGGTTTCGGAGGCTTCAGTTCATTTGTTGGTTCTGGGCCAGGCTTTGGCGTCTCTGTGCTGTATTTGGTTTTGTTTTCGGTGCCGGCAGGAAACCCTAAACCCTAAACCCTAAACCCTAAACCCTAAACCCTAATTACGGCAGCTCGCCCACTGCTTTGATAGTCGGAATTCGGCTCTTCGTCTGCAAGGGCGGAGTCGGCATGAGCCATCGCTGCCGATTGGATGCCGTCTCGCGAGTCATCGGGAGTCTTTGAGGAACTAAGGGCCCCAAAGCTTACCGGCTTGAGCTCGAAAGCAATAATTTCAACCCCTGAACCCTAAGCCCTAAACTCCTAAAACCTAAACCCTAAACTCCTAAACCCTCTAAGCCCTAACGCGATGGCTGGTCAGACAGCTCCGGAGAGCTGCGATCGGCAGGAATGCAGCTGGGCCACTGCAAGCGGACGAGTCTATGGTCTATAGAATTTAGTATCCTATAGTATACTGCAGAACTGAGGATGACTATCGTCTACTATAGTTTACGATAGTTTACTATAGTGTACACTATAGTTTACTATGGTATACACTATATTTTACTATAGTGTACTACAAAATATATACCATAGTATATTCGAGTCCATACTCTAGTATGCTATGAGTACGACCTCAACGGCATGTGACAGCAAGTGGCGTCAGGCTCCCGCAAGCAGATGCCCCAGCTGTCTGTTTTGGGGATGTTGTAGCAGGGATTGCTTGCTCCCGTCCCGAGTCCCGTCCAGGCCGTCAGCCTTTCTTGACGGGGTTTATACGTCGTTTTGAAGTTTTGAGAACCTGCTGACGATACCCGGAGGCAGTGACACGAAGTGCGCTGCGGCAGTGGTTTGTAGGGTCAGGCTGGCCCAGCTGAAGCTAGGAGCCCCCTACGCGCACCACACGCGGTATGTCAGCCTTTGATGGGTGCCCTACAGAAGGACACCCATCGAAGATCGGAGGTTCGAATTATCGGGGGCTCTCCCGGAAAGCCCTTCCTTAAAGTATGTTCCGGAAAGCCGGCGGATGCACATGAAACATGCGAGCTCCACTGGTGCTGGAACCGGCGAAGACATGAGAAAGGCACAGCAGTTCGCTTCTTTGTTCCGGGAGGGTTGGGCCCGCGGAAACTCGGAACTTGCTGTCTGAAGACTGGGGGGTTGCTGGAGACATGTGACGGTTCGATGTTGGGGTTCGCTTTTTTGCAAGATTTCCGGAAGGGCATTGCACCTCAAGCCATCGAAGCCGCGTCAGCGAATGAGTCCAAGCGCACCTTGCACCTTGCATTTAGCAGCCTTGAAAACGTCACGAAACCCACGGAAGCCCCAACCCCCACTGTAGTTTGAAAGCTTTCGTGCATGTCAGCTGTGAAGCCGAACTACAACCTGAACTCTTTAGTGACTGCTTTCGGCCATTGGAAGCGATTTCATCATGGCCGCCA